CTCGTTATTATTCATTGACGAAAATGATTATATTTTCGTTTTATACATTTTTTTGTCATTAAAAAATGGTTTTTATTTAGTTATCATCTTGTTTTCATCGGTGAGAAAATGTTGTTGACAAAAATTGTGACAAAAATAATTCAACGAAATTAACACTGGCTGAAACGCCAGTGTCCGTCAACAGACGTGGGAGGGGCATGGCAAAGTTACGTCACTTGACCAATAATCTGTGAATGGCTTGCTCTGAGAAAGTGCTTATGATTTATGGGGATTTTTTAAAAAGCACTGGGTGGATTTTTTTCATTATAGAGTGGTTGTGTACACACACTGCCAAGAGACATTTCAGTTCAAACAACATGTAAAAGTGAATTTTGCATCCGATGACCCCTTTAAACAACAGCATAAATGCAATCTAGCTAGATCTAAAATGCCTAGGATTTAGTAGTAGCACCACAGCAAAGTAAGTAATATTTTACATGAACTGTGTTTGGAGTCTTAATTGAATGGAGAAAGACTGTGCACTGTCTGCTAAATTACACTAAGACGATACAAAGTAGACAACACATCTTTAATGAATCTGGCTACAGTCACTGCAGTGTTCTGATTGTGTCTGAGCAGTAATAAAACTTCTGGCTTCTGTCGCAGTGCTTTTGTCTGCAGTCCAGTCCAATATAGCAGTGTTTTGAGTCAGGCTGCTTTTATTCTTAAAATGCTTTCATTATAGTCTATTTATGCTTTTATTCTAGGCCTGCTTTCAGTATAGAAATGTTTTGAGTCATGAACTGCTTTTTTTGATGACAAATGGCATTGTTTTTGTATTTTTATTTAGCATACAGTGAGGACCAGTAGCTTCCTTAAAGGTATCATTAATGGAATCTGCAATTCAAGAACCAGAATTGTTATATTTCTTAGGATTTCAATCCTTACATTACATACATTACCATGCAAATGTTTTTAAGAAAAAAAATGAAATGGAAAGAAATTAAAATAAAAGAATGTTTCCATAAAAATATGAAACTGTTTTCAGCATTTATAACAGTACGTTTTTTATTTATTTATTTCTTTTTTGTTTCTTTTTTGTTTTTTTGAGCAGCAAATCAGCATATTAGAATTATTTCTAAAGGATAATGTGACACTGAAGACTGGGGTTCAGCTTTGCATCACAGTAATAAATTACATTTTAAAATATTTTTAAATAGAGAACAGTTATTTCACACACACACACACACACACACACACACACAGACAGACAGACACATATATAAATGATGTGTCTACGAATAATCCAATGTAAATGCATACTTAGCACCTGTGAAGCAATCTCATAAACACTCATGACCTCACCACCTACTTATCTTTATTTCCCCTACTCCCTGATATGTGCGTGTGTGTCTGTCTTGGCTGTGAATGTGTCACAGTAGTTTCACATTCACTGTGGCCACTGATTGTTGCTGGAAACTTGTTGACTGTTACATAGAACACTGTTACCTTTTCACCTCTCAATCTAAAGCCAAAACCCTCTTGTAATCTATCTTTAGAGCATTTTAAAAGTTTTCCCTGTTCTGCCGTGATGAGCTTCATAATGGTATCTCTGGGCAGCACAATCTCTCTTATGGAGCCGAGAGTGGGATCTGATCACCCTCAGCAGCACTAGTTAAAGGTTTGAGCAATTGACTCTCCCCTACAGAGCTTGAGTCTCAAATGCAGTAAACTCCATTTGCAAATCAGTTGGCAAACTGTGTTTATCCACCAGAGCAAAAATAAGTGGATACAAAAAAGTTACACCACAGATAATTTGAGGGTAAGAAAATGCCTGAATTTGAATTGCATTCACAGGCTTTGCTTGAAGAGGAACACAAACAGGTTGTCCAGTTGATTGGATTGTTACAATTGTGAACACAACAGCAAATTCACCACCAATCAGTCACTGTAAGAGTAATGTGTGTGCTCAGTTATCACAAACAAAACACCATCCGAGCCCTTAGCAGCAGAAAACATCCAACAGAACCTCAAAATGTGTCTAAAATGGGGTAATGATGCTGAAAATTCAGCTTTGCATCACAGTAATAAATTAAATTTTAAAATATTTTTAAATAAAGAACAGTTATTTCACACACACACACACACACACACGCGCGCATATAAATGATGTGTCTACGAATAATCCAATGTAAATGCATACTCAGCACCTGTGAAGCAATCTCATAAACACTCCTGACCTCACCACCTACTTATCTTTATTTCCCTTACTCCCTATCTGTGTGTGTGTGTGTGTGTGTGTGTGCGTGCGTGCGTGCGTGCGTGCGTGCGTGTGTGGGTG